ATAGATTTGTTTTAATTTATTTACAGATTAGTTATAATGTATTTATAGATTTGTTTTAATTTATTTACAGATCTATTGTAATATATTTACAGATTTGCAATGACGACATTTTGTACAGTTTGTTTACTTTTTGATTCAACTGCCTGTCGTTTGAACTGTGTTTGGTGGATGCAAATATAGTTTCCATGAGCTTTTAGCCAAGATTCTTAGGTTTCTTTTGATACCAAACAWGACAAGTTTGAACTTACAGATCTTAAGTTAACAGAAGTTAAAAGACATAGAAAACGGGAGATGCTGTTTTATGGGGTTCTAAGTTGATTAGTTTGGTCTGTGGGCTTGTATCACCATCATTGACTCGGGTATCAATCTGCTCTTTTTTCACAGTCTGTCATCACACTCAAAGTGTAGCAGCCAATGTGTAAAGGTTTCTCTGACTGCCTTTAGAATTGCAGCTTTTCTTTATTATTACRTGTGCAAGCTGTTTTCCTAAACTCATGAGTTCATTTCCGAAAAATGTTCCTGCTCCATGTCTTATAGATTGGCAGGCTGACTGCACTTCCTTCGTGTGGGTGCACTTGTTAACTTTGAAACATCTTCTGCAGATGAACTATTAGAATTTATAATCTGATGATACATCATGTTAGCCAAGACCTGTACAGTTTATTTCATTATGTACTGTATGTTTTTATAGAACATTACTAGCCACAAATGGGAGAAGTGGTTCTCTTACCGTTCTGGACATCCAGAACGTGATGTTTATCCAGCGTCCATCCTCCCATGTTGGAAGCATCCATCTCATAGCCTTGTAATACGGCTGTCCTCTTCTCCCACAGGATGAGGTCCAGGCAGGACTCATATTCAAAGCCCACTGACACTGTCGAGACACAAACGTCGATCAGCTCAGCCTTATGACTGTGTTTCAGCTAAAGCAGAGTGACTTTAGAGCAACACAAACTGGCTGGAAAAAATGATGTTTATATACAGGTGCTGGTCATACAATTAGAATATTATTTAAAAATGATTTATTTCAGTAATTTTATTCAAAAAATATATTATATTCATTCATTACACAGACTGATGTATTTCAAATGTTTATTTCTTTTAAGTTTGATGATTATAACTGAAAAATAATGAAAACCCCAAATTTAGTATCTCAGAAAATTAGAGTATTTTAAAATGTTCAGTATTGAAGAACCTGGTGCCACACTCTGATCAGCTAATTAACTTAAAACACCTGCAAAAGTTTTTAAATGGTCGCTCAGTCTAGTTCTGTAGGCTTCACAATCATGGGAAAGACTGCTGACTTGACACTTGTCCAAAAGACAACCATTGACTTCTTGAACAAGGAGGACAAGACACAAAAGACAATTGCTAAAGAGGCTGGTTGCTCACAGAGATCTGTGTCCAAGAACATTAATAGAGAGGCAAAGGGAAGGAAAATATAAAATATGTCTCACAGATGTATGAAAACCTGGTTTCAGCTGTCTCACAGACATATGAAAACCTGGTTTCAGCTGTCTCACAGACATATGAAA